TAGTTGCGGCCTCGTGCGCCTTCCTTCTGGGGATCGACCAACATGTCGGCCATGGGGACTTTAGCTTTTGACGAATACGGGCGGCCGTTCCTCATCCTCAAGGACCAGGAGCGGAAAAGCCGCACCACGGGCTTGGAGGCCCTCAAGGTAAAGATCACGGTGGGAAACGGGTCGGACGACCGTCCCCTGCCTTCTGTGGGCCCCTCCGGTATTGCTCCTGAAACAGGGCATTCAGGTTCAGAAGTGTGAAGTTGGGCCGGGCCCTTTTCCCCGCTCTCAGCTTAGCCTGCCTCAGCGGGCCGCTGTGTCGGAAAAGTTGAGTTCCCTCCCATACACGCTATTCGAGGCCTTTGGGGAAAAAATGGAATTTCTGTTCGAAAAAGGGAAAAGGAGCAGTAGCGCGACCATCTGGAGCGGGATTTATTATTAGGGTTGTGTTTAAATTTTTACAGGTTGTTTTCCTTAAAGCATCAGGTAATTGGTTGCTTATGGCAACCTAGCAGTCTAGGAGTCAGATGTCAGGGCTGGGACAGGTGGTAGAAGTGGGCAAAATCACGTCTTCGCAGGCAGCCTCTGCTACCTTGTGGGTCAGCTGCAAGTAGCTGATCGTCTCCTGTTTGCTGAGTCCACCCACGTTGGAGCCCAGCTGTCGTGACGCCAAATTTTGACAAATGGCACAACCCATGTATCAAAACTAGCATCCACATGGCATATTGAAGAAAACGATTGGTGCATATTTTCCTGCTACCTGGTGACATTTAGGGGAGAGGAAAAAAAAGGCGGGGGAGTCCAATCTGTTTCCTTAAATTACTCTCACACACATAAATAAGAACACCACCATTTGGCATCAGTGTAGCAGGATAGGGATTGGCAATGAGGACAGCAAATTGTTATGCCGGTATAATTTTTTGTTGGCTTAAGGATGGGTGTATAGCACTTTAACTTGGTCCTGGGGAAGAGCCCTGACACTGACAAGGCACCTGAAAAAATGTGTATGACCTTAACTACTTTTAGCAGCTTTAATTCTGCATAGCTAGAATGGCCGGTGGAATTTTGATACCATGGTGGCAGAGTAATTTCTGTATTGTGACTTTTGTTGTTTCTGGCAGCATAAAATTCTGTTTTGCTCCTGATAACATTTGATAATATAGTAACACTTGCTAGAAGATATGGACTAGGGAAACAGTATTATGGCTGTGAAGATCATTCAGATGATAAGGTTGACAGCATTCAAGAAGAAAACACCTCAAAACATTTAAGTAACCGCATTTTTTGCAAGGCTTATGCAGCTGCTTTGAAAGGTGCTCGTGGATGTTTGCATGTGTGTGTGTGTGCGCAAACATGTAGTATTTTAGCATTTGAAAATGCTGAATCTATATTTGTTTTTCTTATAGTCTCATATAATGGCAGCCAAGGCAGTCGCCAATACACTTAGAACATCACTTGGCCCCAACGGTAAGCAAAATGATTTATGCTGTATATTTTTAAGTTTTTTACATTCTAAGGTTTTTTTAATGTATATTGTTATTGTTTAAATGTTTATTATAGGCCTCGATAAGATGATGGTTGACAAAGATGGTGATGTGACAGTAACAAATGATGGTGCTACTATTTTGAATATGATGGATGTGGAGCATCAGATTGCTAAACTTATGGTTGAGTTGGCAAAATCGCAAGATGATGAGATCGGGGATGGAACCACAGGTGTTGTTGGTAAGATTAGTTTGTTTTGTTTTCTTATCAGAATTTTACTTAATTGAACAGCATTTACTTCTTTGCAACAACTAACAAACTGGACTTTCATTTTCATAACACTACCTAAAACAGATACTTTATTTTCATACCTAAGGTTATTTCTACTGCATGTTGGGTAATTCAGTTCATTTAGCTTTTGTTTGCTTACAAAAGAATTAATAGATATTTGTCAGAACCTAAGCAAGTAAATGATAAATTCCCATTAAGTAATTGTTTTACATTGTCTTATAATATAGTAAAATGTATAACATTGTAATATGTAATGTTCTGTAGTTCTTGCAGGTGCGCTACTGGAACAGGCAGAGCACTTGCTAGATCGTGGTATTCATCCAATCCGAATTGCAGATGGTTATGAACAAGCTGCTCGTATTGCTATTGAAAATTTAGATAAGATCAGTGACAGTTTTCCTGTTGATCCTGCAAATACGGAGCCCCTTATTCAGACAGCAAAGACAACTCTAGGCTCAAAAATGTAAGTAGTTTTTAAAGAACTAAGGGAATGGCAGAATTCATATTGCTCATTGTTTTGAAGTATACTTAAAGACACAAAGTTCCTAAAGTAGCATATTTCTGCAGAAATAAATATTAAATGTAGAATTGTGCCTTTTGTTATTTACATGTGTAAGTTTGGATAAACAAAATATTTAAACACTATGTATTAAATTCAAAATGC